CCCCCCATGCCTGAAACTTCCAGCCCATCCATGAATTTATCCTGAGATAAAGCAAGCCCACGGCCCTAGTTCCTAAGGTGTATTACATTGAGAAAGGTTCCGCCTGGGACGCGTGTGTGCGTGAATAGACACAGACGCATAGTTGGGTTCGTATTTATGTGCACAGGTGTGTGTGCGTGTGTGTGTGGTGCAGCAATGCGTGTGGCAATTAGTGGAGAGACATATGCATTAGAGACCACCCGGCGGGAAGCCCACAGCGTGGATGCTGATGCTTAAGGCCCTGCCCTCTCCAGGTGTTACCGCTCCCCCGGGTTTGAAAATGCACTTATGTTCGTCTCCGTAAGGTTCCTGAGCAAGGAGAGCCTTTCCGATGGGCCAGCTGCGTGCGTGTGTGTGTGTGTGTGTGTTTGCCGTCCCCTCGGCAAGTGGGACCCCTTAAGGCCATNATGCGTGTGTGTGTGTTTGCCGTCCCCTCGGCAAGTGGGACCCCTTAAGGCCATAATTACCTGTGTTCCAAAGGACAAAACTCACCTTCCACGGCTCCTGTTTCTATTTTTCTTAGTGTAAGTCATGGACATTGAAGAGATGACTCGTATTTTTTTCTTCCAAAACATGGCAGTCGGGGTAATTGCCTAGTAAGATCAGAAGAACAATGCTTTCTCATTTTAAGGGAAATCATCCCCGAATATACAATTTAAATAGCTCATCAGAGCTGGTTCAATGAGGCATTTGATAATTATGCATAAAAGATCTTCTCTTCCTACTCGAAGTATTATGATTACTGATGCTAAGATTAAGTTGTCGCTTTTAGGTGGTTTACTGGAACAGTCTGAGATGGTAAAATCTTTTGAAACCCTTTGCATTGGACTGTCGCCATCCGGGCATCCGCTTGGGTGCTAACTCACTAATCCCACAAATATCCCCGTGCCCGCAGGTGCCAGGCGCCATCCCCGCGCGGCTGTACGCGGGAACGGTTAGTAAAGGAAAGCAGCCTGCCCTCGGTAAGCTGGAAGTCTCCCGAGGAGGCAGACGCGGCACACGAGTAATAAATAAATCTCAGTCCGTGCGGGTACTAGTCTCTAGGGCTGCCAGAATAAAGTCCCCAAAACTAGGTGGCTTAAGACAACAGAAATTCATTGTCTCCCAGGATGGAGTCGCTCGTGGAAACTCCGCCTCGGAGCCTGGATGGCTTTGACAGCAGGTGTTTCACGTCAAGGCCACAACGGGGGTCACCTGGGGTCATTGGTTCGCAGAACTTGAAACCTGACAGCGAATGTTCGTGGCCGCGCTGGCGTCTAGGAGGGGCTGTGGCTGCTCCATCCCGTCCGCTCGCCTCACCCAGGACCGATCCCCCAAACGCTGCAAGCCCGAGGGTCCTGAGGGTTCGTATCCGAGCTCTTGCCCTGTGGAGGTCTGACCTGCACAGAGGGAGGGGGGTGTGTTTCCTAGAGTCTGGGATTTCAGTCCCGGCAAAGCACTGACTTTCTCTAAGTCTCGGCTGATGTCAGGAGAATAGTAAGACCTACGGCTTAGAGTTGTTGGAGGCAAGAAACGGAGTTATCCTGATAAAGCGATTCGCTTACCTGGTCCCCGGGCGCTCGCTGTGTCTTAGGAGCCCCGGTCTGTGCGCTGGGCTTCCGGCTGAGGTGGGCGATGACAGGTCACCTGTCCGCGGTCATTGGTTCCCCTTCTCAGCGCGGTTTAGCCTGGTGAGTTGAAGCTCTGGATTATTTTAAGATGAATAGACTTCGGTTCAGAATGCTTGCTGTTCATTCTCTTAGTCCTGGATGCCTCATTCTTTGAGCTAAATGCGCCTGGATTTGAAGACCAGCCAGATGGGATATTTTGAGAACGAACCTGTCCTTAGCATTGTGTCCTAATCCTTAAAATAGGAATGGAAACATCCTATTCAGGGCCTCGTGTTTTAAAAGCACCTTCTGCAGATAAGGCGCCGGGGCCGCGCGTGGCTCCCGGTAGGCTCCCCGGGAATGAGCCAGGCCGCCGGGGAGGTGGGGGGACGTAGGGCAGAGGCCACCAGACAATCCGGCCGTAGCTGGGCTCCCGGATCCTGAACTTTCCTCCTCAGAGGGAAGGGTCCAAACTTTCACCAGCGTATGGCTGTCTCCCTCCCCTCCTCTGGCGTCGACCCTTTGCCCCCGTCTGTTCACATTTATGTGCCCGGCGGCGTCCTGAGTG